GTAAAACCCTAACGCCTTAACCTCCTTGGACTGTTAATTTGAATTCGGTTAATAACATAAGAATTATTAATGTGTTAAGACTTGATAATTGAATCTCGTATGCTTGCTTAAGGTCCGAGTAAATAATTGTTGTGTTATTATTGAGTTGGGATTGGTCGGAGCCTTGTCGGGCTTCCGAAAGAATTAATTGAATGATATGTGAATAGGGTTAATTGTTATCAATTTATGTGTTCATAATCATGTCTATTTGTGTGATAAACGTGCCTAGAATCATCGATTATATGTTGCTTTCGACATGTTAAGAAGTTCGGATAATTAGGTTATGATTTCATGTGTAATTGTCATTTTCGTGCTGTCTGTTCGGAATAAATTTAGGCCCATGAGATGTTATTTTCGGTTTTCGAGTTCTTCATATGATATGTAGTTCGTTCAGTTGTGTTTACGTGAGCTTTGGAATCGTGCGATTTCGACTTAAAACGAATAAGTTATGATTTTTACAAAATTGACTGCGCGAGCAGTTTTTCTTAAATCCGGCTGCAGTTAGGTTTAGATGTTTTGTGTGTTTATGATATGATAATGTGCTCAAATGAACCTGAAGTCTTCATTGAAATTGTATTTCTATGTGTTATCTTTCATGTGGTTCTGGAATGAAGCAAAAATATGGTCCGAGTAGTGAATGATACCTGTTTTCGTAAAATTGCGCATGAATTTATTTTAAATTTCTGGACAGCATTTAAGCTCTGAATGTTTGCTGGTTTTGAACCATGTATATGACCTTATTTGCTTTTGAGTGCTAAATGAAAGTTGTAGTACCATGTCGTAGGAGCAATATGAGACTTGAATCATGTTAATGCGATCTGTATGTTGAAAGATATGCTCGTTTTAAAAATGCAGCGCGCGTTAAGTTTTGTCAAAGGACTAAGTGTAATTGTTAAAGTGAGTCTTATGTTTATTAAGCATGCTTATATGACATGTATGAGCTGTAAAGCATTGAGTGAGATCATGATGAGCCTTAGATGATTAGAATAGTATCCGTAAGCAAGCAAGCTAAGAGTTCAATTGTCCAAATGCTTTAAAATAATTATGTTTTCAAAAGAATGCAAGCAAGGCGAAGCCAAGCGAGCAAAGTTTTTCTAAAGCTTATGTATGATTATAATATATATATAAGAATAAGTTTCATGTTAAGACACTAAGACATGACCCCAATGAATGTAGTTTTACGAGGAGTCGAGCCCTCGAGATTTCTTTCAAGTTCAAGTCTAAGCCGAGCATTCTACTGAAAAGATGGGGGAAGTTCTACTTTATTAATCCTCTTTAATTATCTATGCTATGAATAAAGTTAAGTAGCTTGCATAATACCCATGTTTATAAAATGTTCCAACATTCGAGCAAGTCGTTTGTTGCAGTACCAAGGTTCACGGACTAT